ATGAAAAAAAAGCAAACCAATGCTGGCTGTGCCCGTAAGGGATTACTGCGATCCCTGTAGCTCAATCAGCCTTGATTTTTCGTAAAACAAGTGGCAACAAGCAAAACGGGGGGAAAACATAGAAGAAACTGTCGCTCCAAAAAACAGTAAACGAGTCTTCATTAGATGCCTCCGGATCTGGAAATTAGGAAATAAACTTTCCGCATTTCTTACTTAGGCGAGAAGCAAACAGTTCGATTTATGGGAATCCAAATTTGCTTGTTATTTTAGCAAAAGCATTGTCCGAAAGGTACCATTCACCATCAAAATTCAAATTCGTGGGTTCCTTATGCGCTTCAAAATTATCGGAAGATCGAATGTAAGATGCTTTAACCCATAACCTCCTTTCTTCACACCAACCCCAAGGCGCCTCGAAATTTCGTTTAAAACAGGAAATTTTACTCACCCTATTCTATTTACATACAAAATAGCAGTTGTGTTATCAATCCTCAAAAGTGTCTCGCAGTTAGTCAAATACGAGGCGAAGCATTAGAGACCAAATGAGGCCGCAGTTAATTCTAGTGCATTAATATGAAACTGAGCTTCCCTAGGACTCCAAAGTTCTCTGGCACAATTCCCCAACCCAAAGGAGTACCATCTGAGAAAATCTCAAGTTTGTAACATTGCTGCCTTACAGGGCATTCAGGATTCTGTAAACTTTTTAGCCATCACATAAAATCCCTCCGTAAATTACAAGGAATTATCATCCAAATATCATAATTATCGACAGAGTCTTGAAGGGCTAGATATTTGATTCTCTCAAAAATTCTTAGTATATACCCAACTGTAACAAACTGCTGGGCAAACTGAAAACTAGCACAGCACAAAGCTCGGCAAAGACTCTTATTTCGCAACGGTTCAAATTGCAAAACTTACTTACTCATCAGAAAAAACAAGTGGTGGGATTCAAAAAAACAAAACCTAAAAATTTACGGGATTTCGAAGGATGTAAAACATTCTTATAATTAATAACATAACCCAACCTAATCAGTGTGTTGCAAGTTACTGGAACATTTTTTAAGGATAGCTAACTATCACCAAATAGTAAAGTTATCTAAATAAACTATTGAGGGAAAAGCCTTGGCAGGGAGATAAGAAACCACAGATTTCATTAATTCTGTAAAGGCCCACGGGGCGGTGCATAAACCAAAGGGTAACACGTTAAACTGATAACAGAGAGCATCAAAATAAAATCTTAGAAAATTCTTTTGATTTTCAATTATTGGGACTAGAAAGTAAGCTTCTTTCAAGTCCAGAGTGGTCATAAAGGACTTCCTTGTGAAGAGTGTTTCTACTAATTTTCTGTCTTCCAGTTTAAAATGACAAGTGTCAATAAAAGCATTCAGTTTCTTTAAATTTAAAACTAATCAAACCGAACCATCCAATTTTGAAACCAAAAAGATCTGTAAAATAAATGGATAAGCAAGGTTCGCAAACTGCAATTGCACTTATCTCTAACAGGTGTTTGACCACATTACAAATTGAATCTTTTTCTTGTTGGGACCAAACAGGATCTGTCGTAATCAAGTCCTGTATAACTGGCCTCGCAAATGGAATTTTATATCCATCTAACCAAGGTAGAATCTGTGCATCTTGAGTTCTAGAGTTCCAAATGTCCCGAAACTCGTGCAATCTTTCAACAAAAGTACTTACTATTTTTTCCTGGGGACACAACTCCACCCCCTTTCCTCTCGAACCTTCCTGTATTCCCTCTTTTGAGGGTACAATGACTTTCACCCACTTCAGCCTTGCAACTTCCGGGAACGAAGTGGGACGGTCGAGTTTAAATTTGTATGCTATAAAAGCCTTGTTCCGGATGCACCTGACTTTAACTCGGCCACTAATCTGCAGCTAATCTGATTGATTTGAGCCTATCAGCCAAATCTTCTCCATATAAACAAGAGTGCAAAGAAGCATCAACGAGCACTTCCTTCATACATGCAGCGAAAGGCTTAACGCGGCTGAACTTCTATATACTGAACCTAAATGGTGTATTTTGCTTAAAACAAATATTGCATTACTCAACATTTCGATGAGAAGTAAGTACTACTCATCCTTAACCGGTTTCAAAAGCAAGGTCAAGAGCGTCCTACCAACCACCATCAAAGCACCCCTTGTTGCAGTCAGTCTCTCATCCCTTTTCTTTCCACCTTTGTTGATGGCAGATTTCATCTGCACATTCAATTTAGGAGAGTTATTGAGCGGCAATTCTTCGGCACAGGATATCAACGCAAAAGGTCACTGAGACAATCTTCGGACACACCGGATTTCAAAAAGGTATTAATCTGACTTGCCAAAATGTCATGACACATCAAACTTTGTGTTGGGACTATCGACCCCATAGCTTAAAGGCCATTTTGCTTTAAATCCGTCTCAAGGGGCTCAACAATGACATCAGAATTAATTGAAGGGCCTAAAAAATATACTTACGATGGAGTAAATGCATTCCAACAGCCATAAAAAATTGTTCATTATGTCCCAGTATCCCGGGCGCCTCATCCATAGCCGGACGAGCCAGAAAACTCTATTTTTTCGATGTCGAAAAAATATAAAACCATATGTATGGCCGACCCCCTCACAAAAGGATTGCTTCCAATTGTGAAACACTTACATACGACTGCTGTCGTATAAGTGGGAAAGATGGGGGGTCTTTCGAGTTCTGGGGATTCCGATCGGAACCCGGACGATGAAGAAATCGTCTCCCAATTGTAAGAAAATCTCGTTGATGGGAACCACGCCACTAGCGATTATGTAATCGCGGATGGAAAGATTTAATCTTTCGTCGTAGGTAGGTTCTTTCTTCATCCGATAAGGAATAACGTAAATCTCACTTGTACTTCTCCATTTAACTTCCAAAAACGCTGAAAAAAGCTGAAAACACCGACGCCGAATAAAAATGAACATGTGCCACCAAAGCACAAAAAGAGGAATGAGGTTAAGACCATAGATGGCGAATATACCGTCCATGGTAAGTTATTCCACAGTTTTTTGGCTCTGCTTTAAAGCTGTGGTGCCACCTAGCGACTAGAAGGGGGACTACGTATATTGATTTCATAGAAGAGGTGTAACATATAATTAGTAATATATAGGAAATAAAGCGAAACTATCTGAGAATAATTTAGATTTTCAACCAAAATATGTTTTACCAGCCAAGTCGAAATTTAACAACCCAGTAACAGTTATACTTTTTTTCTACATATAAGCAAGCAACTACTTAATTTTTCTTTTTCGTAACTGAAAATATTAAAACCTGTCCCTTAAACAACATAAAATGTATTAATCTTTTATTCCGTATGTAAAAAAAAATTTAATAAAATAGAATTGCCGACTTTTCTCCGTGTACGTACCTGTATATAATTATAACATTATGTGAAATTTCGTAAAAATAAAATGCTAAATTTTTTAACTGTACAGCTCTGAGCAATTCTGTTTCAGATCGACCAAAACGGCTTACATCTTACCTTTCTATCTTACTTTTTAATAAGCTTTCATTTTGATGTCATCCAAGAACATTAAATTTTGGCAGAAATGTCAACAATATGACATTTACAAGTAAAATTAAAGTTACGCTTATATGAGTGTCGATATTTTAAAAACTAATTCACCGATTTTACAAAATTGATATGTAGTAAATATTACTATATCGTGCTCCGTCTGTCCATTTAAGATTTGCACCCAATCGAGTTTAGCAGTTTAACTCATTCGAAAGGTCGTCATGAGCGCACAGAATGAAAGAAGGTGAATCAATTTTTGCTCAAAAAGTTGTCGCTCTGACACAGAGGTTGTTTTTGATTTTGCTGTTTATTCTTATTTTAAATTTCTAATTTTTATTATTCCCACGAAAGACGCTTATATTGCATTTTAAAGATAGAATTCCTTAAAACTAAAACTAAGTATACCATAGGTTCTGTTTGAATTAAATGTTTGCAAGTTCAGTTAGATATTAGAGAAACAATAGGTAAAACATATTATTTCCTTTTTTCTTCCTTTAATGTTCCTTCATATAAAAAATTGAAGCTAAAAATATTGCATAAAAGAAATTACGGGAGATATTTAGGAAATAATATGGGGAAATATAGGAAAGTACGGGGAGCCATTTGGGTAATACAAGGAAATATGAAAAATGGAAGCTAAACATATTGCATAAAAGAAATTACGGAGACATTTAAGTACACATATGTTTACTTAAGCATGTTATAAAATTAAACACACTTTATTGCTGATATGTCATATACATATATGAAAAATTATTCCAGGGCATCATCCTCCGTTCATTTGTTGAATTCAACAAACTTTATCTTGGGATTTTTAGGGTTATACGATAAAAGGCATAAATATTAAGGTCATAGAAATATTTTCTCGCCTTTTTTTATTTGGCTTTAATTGTATTTTTTTTATGTATCGAGCAAATTAATTAAAGAATTCTACACCTGCCCTTTTCTATATAGGAACTTACTTACTTAAAGTAATTAAAGAAAAGGAAGAAAAATAAGAATCAAAATTTGCTAAAAAATATATTATTTTTGTTTTGTTTTGAAAATTTATTGAAAAATGGTTTAAGTATGTTTTTTATATATTATATATATAAAAATTAATTTTAAAAATTGGTAATATCCGGAAAATCAATTAGAAATGTGTGAAATATTTTGCAGAATCAGTGAAATCTGAAACCGGTGAAATCTTTGTGAAATCCGTGAAACATTGCGTTAAACCTGAGAAATCATATGGTTGTGTGAAATCAGACTTATTGATTTATTTTTCGTTTTATTAGGTTAAGATTGCTCTATGAGCCCAAGAAAAAAACTGTTCTGCGCAATATCTACGCCCAAATAAAAAAAAAAGGTATTAAATCTCCCCAATTCGAGATATATAGCACTAGCATATTAGGAAATTTAAATTTCATTATTTTGTTAACAAAATTAGTAGAAATCATCCAATATAATAATCACGCTTGCACTAACCTGTTTTCGTTTGACGGTCTCGGCCAACGGAGAAGGAAACGATGCCTTGCCTTCGTACTGATCCCTCAACTCGTCCAAGTACTTCACGTACTGCTCGCGTTCCTCTTGATCCTCCGGTACGTGCAGGTACGCCCGCCAGTGGCTGCTCGAATCGAAACCCCAGTGTACGGTGCGGTTCTCCAAATTCCGATGCACGTGACACACAAACTGCTGCGGCGAAAAACCGCCCTGACAGTCGGAACACTCGATACATTTGGCATTTTTGCTAACGTAAAGTTCCGGAAAGCACAGCCCGCTCGATTCGCCGAAACATTTGTGGTACACACTAAACGACAAGGCGTTCTTGCGGGGACGCAACGGTTGCGTCGCCTGACCGAAAAGAAGAGCGCTACAAAGTCTTTCGGCGTCGGTTTTCGTAATCAAACCGCAACTGGGCGCGCTGCTCGGCAATATGCCGTGGTTTTTAAGTACGTTCAATTGTTCGGGGGTGCAACGCGAGCAATAGATCTGCAATTGATCGCACTCTTGATTAATCTGCTGCAGACTAAACTCGCGCAGTACGGAATTCAGTACTTGGGGCAAACACAATCGTTTCTCACCGCCGACCACGAAACAGGAGATCGACTCCCCTTCGAGGATCGTTTCCGTGCGCTCGCTGCAAGACGTGTCCGGCGCGGCCAAGATCGGCACCTGCTGCACGGGAAAAGGAGGCGTAGGAGGGAATTCCTCTTCCTTGACCTCGGGAGACGCAGGTTCCGTCTTAGTCACCACCAGGGATAATCCGGGCCCCTGTAAACTTTTCGTTGCGCTATATTGATAGTTTTTCAAGACGCTTTTCAAGTGTGGAGTAACTTCCATCATTTCGATAAACTTAATTATTTCACACCACACACTTCCGTTATTATCATCAGTCTATGACCGTCGCAACGCATCGGAAGTTTTCGCGACAACGGTGACCGTTCTCTCTTTGTCTAGCGACGGCGATGACACTGATGACAGCAGCAGCAGCAGCAACAGCACGCAATCACCGCACATTTCTCACGTCTGACTGTGTTTGTACAACCGCGGCGAGCGACGACCGCGACCGGCAGTAATCGTCTCGACCGTAGACTGTTGCGAAACGCATGCGCAACGTACATCAGCTCGTATTCCACATCGAAATTCGCGTAAATAACCGGACAAACGGGATGAAAAGCACCCCGAGATCGCGACTCTCTTTTCTTGCAACCCTTTTATGAGTCTCGGTGCGTCCCTGATACCCTCCACCACCACCGGTCACTCAAAAAATCCGCACACACCCGACGAAAACCTTCCAACTAGACAGCCATGGCAGATGAGCTTGTTTGTAGAAAGTCCCGCGCGGTTGCCAAATTTGCCCCAGGATTTTTTAGTTCTTAAATTTTTTAGGAAAGACCTAAGACATAACTATTAGTTATTATAGTGGCCTCAGCACGGTAGAAAAGTGAATGGATTTTCCGCGCATGCCTCTAAATTTTACTCACCTCATCTGCACTTTGCGCCATTTTTTTTCTAACGAACTGTCAGCGGCTATCTTGGTTAGCTTGAAGTGACAGATATCAGTTAAAAACAAAATGACCGCACATGCGCATATTAAATGACACTTCTCAACATTTTTTTTTATTTATTTCACATTCGCTGTGCATTGAAAGCTGATCATTTTGTGCCTACCACTCTTTGCTAGATCGCAACAAACCGGGCCTAAATATGACGCCAATTATCAGCGTGTTAATAACGTCTAATATCTACGTTTACTAAGTAGGATACTGACATTTGCAACTGCTGCCGTCATAACTTGAGATTAGTTTAACCGCTGTATCTAAACAAACAAAACGGTTTATTTAAAAGCAATCAGTGTTTTCTCATTTTTGGGTTGAAGTATTTACTAACACAATAATTAAAACATATACACAGTTTAAAGCAAAACAGAATAACATAGGAGAAAATAAATTTAGTAAAGAGTTATCTATCACAACCCGGTTTTAAAGAGTTATAAAATAATATTGTTTTAACAATTTTCTAATATCTAAAATCTATTTTTAGCCATTGTTACCACTTAAATACAGTTCGACACCAAGGTATGAGCATTATGTCAAAGAAAAAGTTCATCGACTTCCGAAGGATCCAAATGGAAGAACGGTATAACCAGGCCCTAGAGCTTTTTTTATGTAGCTGTCATTTTGTGGATGGGACCCAATGAAGGAAACAAAATTTGAATTTAAATCTCCATGAAAGAGAAGAAAGCATCTCGAGAAAGAGTAGTTTATGTTTGTGGTATAGGTTCAGAATAAGGTAGAAGCACATGTACTTGCAATTAAGCGACAAGCATCTACATCTAAAGGAGCATCCTTTGATGACATTGACAAAACGTTTACTGTTAATTACATTTTTATTATTATGTGTAATAAATAATTATACCAAAATAGCCTTTCGGGTACCCTTTAAGATCAAAAATAGGAATTGCAAAGTTACTTTAACAAATACACAACTTTTATTTCGCGAGCTTGACAATCCGATGGTGAATTGGCAAAATTTCCTGCCCCGTAAATACTTGCTATTTTATATCGTACAACCTTTTGAAATCTATGTTGATTGTTGAAAGCTGAAACCAATTTTTATAATTTTACAATTTAACAATTTTTCTTTTAACTCGCAGTGAGTCAAAATCATCCTGTAAAACGTAGCATATTACTGCAATTACGAAATAGTTATATACCAGTGCATTAAATATCTACTTACCCCTTTTGAATAAATTTGGAAGTCGCATGATATAGCGAAAATTTGGTAGACGTGGCAAAAGCGCAGTCTAGCCGCTCCTCCCGCCGTGCCCCTGCCCACCCGGCGCGCAGACACCAGCTCGATCACGTGATCGACCTTCCCGTCAAAATAGGCGACTGGCTCCGGCGGCGGCGGCGGCAAACCCGTCTCGGTCGGGGCGCGGGTGGACGGGAGCTCATAGAATGAACAGCTCTGTGTCTATCCTCCTCTTAGCTCTGGAACAGCACGTGTAACACACAAGCCAACTTAGGCACCCACCAGCAGACGCGAATTGAAATTAATGAACAATTATTACCGTTTCAAATATTGTCCAATTATTGGCCGGTTTGTTCGACGATTTTATTTTATTTTATAATTTTAATTAAAAACATTTTATAGAATCGGTAACTATGTACATATCTACACTTTAATGCATTGACCTTGTTCGTGTTTTAAATTTTGCAGCCAATATGCAAACTAAAATTTATTAAAGACACCTGTTTATTTATTGCGTCTACTTGCTTCTACAGATTTGCCTCTGTGTAATTATCATAAATCTAATAAACGAATGACGATGGATTTTGATTTTTTAATATTTGGAACCTTTGAATGAAGAAAGTCCTCATGGAAAGGCTACTGTTCATATAGCTATTAGATAATGCAGTGACCCTACTACGATAAACAATGATGCGTATCAGGTGGTTATGATATTGTCATGGAGAAGGGACTGATTTTCAGTGCATGCATCTAACCAACTAACCTCCACTTAGAGTCATTTTTTTTCTAAACAGCGATATTCGCACACTTAACTGCTTTTTGCCTGAAGATTTAATAGGATCTGAACATATTTTAAGAGAATACTGCAGTAAAAATGCCGCATCCAAACCAATTGACGATCTGTGAGCGACCATGTTGTTTGTTGAAACTTCCAACTTAATTGGTTTTAAACGCATGTGCATGTTTTCTGATAGTTGCTGCATTACCAGCACAGGCCGGGCCTCCATATGCTACTATTGCATGCGCATGTCCTAAAATTTAAAACGCTGATCTGCACCTTGTACCTGTTGATTTTACGACCTGTCAGCAGCCATGTTGATTGTTGAACGGCGCAAGGCGTTATTGGTATAACGGGAGATTTGAAATTATCCACTCATGTGCACATTGAGTGTCCGTTTTCAACCTTTTTTTATATATATTATATTATTTATATTACGCACGGTGCTCCATAATACTTTTATTATGCACTCTTATTATTCGATCAATATCAAATATGTTTGTTTTATGTGTTCAAAATATTATTTTGTGTATGTCGTTTCCAAAAGAAAATAATTACTTCCTTAATATAGAAAGCACGCTGAAATTCATGACGGATAAAAAATAAGACATGTGCCGAAATAGCTCAGTTGGGAGAGCGTTAGACTGAAGATCTAAAGGTCCCTGGTTCGATCCCGGGTTTCGGCAATATTATATATAATTTTTTTTAACTTTTATTATATTTTTTTAATTTGTGCTGCACAATACATCATTAACATGGGGTTAAAACAATAACATCAGCATTTTTTGTTGGTTCAGACAAAAAGCTTTTAATGTGCTTATCGAAAATCCCTGCGTAAAATTAATGTAAAGAACGTATGGATTCAAAATTAAATTTAATTAACTATTACCGTAGATATTAATTTTTGTTGTAGTAGCTCTTTTTTAATTATAGATTTTAATCGGATATCTATCTTATATTGATACTCTGTAACATATATATAGATTTTTTCTATGTCTCAACTTATATTTGTTAATTGTAGTTTTGATAATAATTCGCCACAAATTAGAGCCGGAGAAAAAAATGCTAAATTATTGTATTGTAGTTCTAGTTAGAAATTTGCCGCAGGAAAAATTTCAATATTAATTTGATTTAATTTTGAATGATCTGTCAAAAGCACATCGAATGTTTAACCTGATGCGCCCTCTTCGGCAATTACGAAGAATTAAAAAAGTTTAATGGAGCTACTGGAAGCTTGCGTCGGTCAAATAACCTAAAAAACTAAAATATTGGCAGTTTTTGATGCGATATTCTAACATTTTGTTGCATTTGAACATTCAGTTGTAGTGCTTGGCGATTAGAAATATTTTCTAAGGTAGTTGAAATTGTTTTTCCAAAGAGAAGTCTTGCAAATTTTGGTCATTTGGTCACGATGCCAAAGTGTTTTGTGCCAGGATGTGAAAATACAGTAGGTGTACTATTTCCCAAAAACGCAGAAGTAAAGAAGAGATGGCTAAATTCTCTTGAGCTTGTAAGCATAGAGCCTGAGTCTAATAGCTTTGTTTGTCTTGATCATTTTGAAGATGATTCTGAAGGTAAACACGAAATTGAAAAATAAAAATCGTGGAAAGTTTGTCTAAATTTGTTTTTAAGGGAAAATCGGCGCTCTGCCAACTCGCAAGCCACCAAAAGAGCCTCCTTCCATGAAAGAAATTTCAAATATTGTGGTAAGTCAAGTTAAAACAGATGAGCAATCAACTATAAAGGTGAAAAATGATCCAGAGATGAAAGGTGAGCTTCCAAAACTGGTAAATTTTATATAAATTTTCAATTTTCCATTCTCAATTAAAGTTAGTTGCTTTCTACATCTGATTCTGGTTGTAAACTTCTTTTATTGGTGTTCACAGAGTCCAATGATAATCAGTGCCGATTGTGTTTAAAGGTTAGTGAAAACTGGACCAATATAAATGACAAGATTGATGAAAAGTACACCGTTAGCGATGCCATATCCATATGTCTTTTCCCTGTAAGTAATAATATTTCAACTAATTATTTTGACAAAATATGCAATTACTTCCAGGTTTTCGGCAAACAGGGTCTGTCAGAGAAAATTTGTTCGGCATGTTTGAGCAAGCTAACTGATTTTCTGCAGTTCAAACAAGTTTGTGTTAAAAATGATAAGGAACAAAAAAGCTCAAGTGGAATGATGATCAATGAATTTGAAGAATTCAGCGATGACATGTTAGATGATAGTTCAGATGATGAATATTTCACAGAAACCTTTGGAAATGAAGTACCCAAAAATAATAAGAGAAAAAATGGAGAACAAAGTGAGGAAACACCAAAATCTAAGGTTGCAAGGAAACAATCAAGTGGGAATGTGAAATCTGAGGTTGATGAAAGATTTGACAAAGTTGAAGAAGAGCTCTTAAAGGTAAGTATTGTTTGCACCATATTCAACAGTCAATTATATTACACATTTTAAGGTGCTCGAAGGTAATTCTTCTGAAAACACCGCAAATCATGACATTTCTACTATTGAACAAAACGATGAGGATCAGACAGATGAATGTGAGGAAATAATACTGGAAGTTGTCAATGAGGAAGATACACAAGGCTACAAATTAACCTCTACTACTTTGCCAATAATAATTAAGCCAGTTTCTAATACCACCAATAAAAAATCACCTAATAGTACAGAAAAGAAGGACAATAAGCTTAAAGCAGTGAAAACTTCTAAAAGTGATGTTGTAATGTTGCCCAGTAGCATAAAAGTGGAGGTAAAATAATTTAATATATGTTATAACATGGCATTACTGTTGTAATTTATTTTAAGGTTAAACATCAGTACAAATCACCTCTTGGAACCTTTGGGTGCATAATGAAGCCTTATGTCCTGGATAATGAATTTGTCTTAGCTGAGGGCTACATTTATGGTCATAGATTAATGAAAGGACACATAAGGTATATTATGTTCCTTCCCAGTTTAAAAATAGATAACATTTTATTTTAGACTCTTACATTGTTTGTATCCCAAATGCCCAGCCGAAGCTACTCAAAGTAAATTAGTGTCCTCTAGTGAGAGCAATTACGAAGATGAAATAACAGTTTTAAAATGTCACAACCATAAGCCAGATGATGCCAATGGACGAAAAAGGCAAATGTTCTTTCAAGTAATGAGAAAACAAATCCAGGATAACAAAGATCTCAATTTTAAGAATTTGTACGATAGGATTTGTAGGCTGTAAGTACACGCAAGATTGGATTATAAAGTTGGTGTAGTTGAACTGTAGATGAGCATTTTAAAGTAACCCCAGGATAATCCTAAGGGTTATGGAGTTTTCTGTTTCCACATCAAGAGTTTGGGATTTCTATGTCTCTATATTTTTAAATTTTGATTTTCATTTTATCATCCCACATATTTCCAAAATAAGATAATAGCTAAAAAGCTAAGTATATGCTTATTACTTTCGTTGATACAGATGGAATCAGCGTCGAAAAAAAAACGATTTTATTTTTTGTCTGTTCTCCGTTCTCTGCTCTCTGTCGACGCTCCATAAAAACGCAAGTAACTTGCGAACTGTTTGATCAAGAGAGCTGAAATTTAGCTCCTTGCAAACAGCCGACAGGACACATAAATGAAATACAAGAAGTGTCCGAAAAGTAAAGCTATCAAATTTGGTGCACCTATCGACCTTGGTCCCCTTAGGGAGCCTAAAATATTAAAAATGCATTTGCAAGGGTCATTTCTTTAAAAATCGTTAGAAATAACATTCTTTGAAAATGTACCGGGTGCTTCGGTAATTTGCAAAAAAAACTAAAAAATGGGTTTAAAGATTGGAAAGCTGTGTGTTAGTTGTCAGTTTCTTTGACATAGCCATTCCGGCCATATAGACAACTAAAACTTTTTTATTTAACATTTCCACATATTGTATAGGGTGATAGGGATATTTCGTACTATAATATAAAAGATAATAGTGTCTTAAACGTGCAGGAGGAATCCAGAAGTTTTGTAAAAAGTATTACAGTAGCCTGTGGAAGTTTCTTTCAAAAATTATGGCTAAATGGTGTGGATAGTATTATAGACTGCATCAAAAGCTACAATTTTTGTATTTACGGTTTTCGTCTATCACATACGCTGTTCGAGATATTTGAAATAATCTAAATGAAAATCATTCGCAATCTATAAGCGATGACCTCATTTACTATTACGGCGTGCTGTATGGTTTCAGGAAACAAGTATTTTCTCGAAAATCATTCACTTTCTAGGAAAAATTCGCATACCAGGAAACGTGGGAGAACCAGAGCTGTAACCTCTACTATTCTCCCTAGTCTATTTGAATTATGTAAGGGTGTGTCGTTTATGGACAAAAAATTTAAAAGATCCTCAAAATTTCCGTTTTGGTAGTTAAATTATTGGCTTCAATTGAAACTGTTAACAATGGTATAATTTGGTTTAAGTAATATTGTAAACTGAGTTGAGAGAGAGTTCATTGTTTATCATACAGAGTACGCGAGATATTACACAAATCGTTATATTTATCAAAGTTTGACCTAACTTTGATGTTTGGCGAGACGTGAAAGTCAATTTATACAGGCTGGATGCACAACAAAATTACATCGATTTTGCGAAAGTTACATAGTGGTCCGCAGGAGCACGATAGAAAAACAATGCGCTCCTAAAGGACAAGAAGTCTTTAAAATTTAAAGCTGCGTAGTGACTTTGTAGATTGCGCAGTGCACACCCGCGATTTTTTGAAAGCAATCTTGTTCACAATGCTTCAATATACTCATAATTTTTCTACTTTTGTTAATTGTACATGAAAAAAATCACTTTTGCGCTAATTTGTGTTTTATCACGTCTGTTGAAGTTAGATTTATTTGAGTAATAATTGACATTTTATTGGTTGATTTTATAGCGATACATCCATCAGAGACTTGGTCCCTTTAAAAACTGTTATAAATCAGCTGTGCCGATATGGTTCCACCAACAATTTCCCAAAGATTAAGTCTTTTAAGCAGCTGTATGAACAAATCGAGGATGCCTGCTTTAGTAAAATACATTATACTTTTTGTGGACCACAGTTTTATCAGGTTAAAAGGGAAACTCGAAATATATTTAGGAAAAAGTAACCATTTTCCTTTTTTAGGAAAGATTTATGGACGAGAAAAACGATGCAATGGCGATTGTTTTCGCCAATACCGAAATAATACAGAAATATTCATATAGTAAACTTTTATATGTTGACGCATCATTTCAGGTTTTGCCCGATTTGTTTCCATATAAGATGGTTACTGTTTTGGTTTGGGTACATGATAATGTAAGTAAAATATCTTTAATTTAAGGGAACAACTTGGTGGAACTGAAAATGCATTATTGCATTTGTATAGGTCCGCCCCTTTCAGAAGACAAATAGTGTTATATGTGAGGAACTGTATTGTTTTTGTTTTTTTTTAGTGTTATCCGATATTGTTCGCGTTTATCAATAAGGAGACCCAGGATATTTACAAGAAAATCTTTGGTTTCTTGTACAATGACTTAGCCAGTGATCTTAGACCTGACGAAATAGTCACTAGCTTTGAATCGTCTCTGTATTATGCTCTAGCAGAGACATACGTGGATTCGCACATAGGTATGCTTTTGTGGTTTGTGGATTAACAATATAGACTTTTCATAACCATAGATGTTACATATAAAGGATACACCACAAGGTCTTAATACATTTTTTAAAACTGGCAGTTAACATAAATGAACTTTGAGGGGTGCAGCTCCCATAGACATGTCAAATCTAATACGGTCAAATTTTTACATATCTTGGTAAAATAAAAAGCACCATTAACGATTTCATAAAATTGATTTCATATAACAATTTTTCTAGAGCTTATTTTGGTTAGCAGTACCTGCATTTTAAATTTTTATTTAAAAAATTGCTTAACTGTCAGCATAATTATTACAGCCTGTGGGGTTCCCTTTGTATATAAGGTCACTTCAAAGATATTTTTTATATGCAAAAAAAATCAACTAGGTACACTAAGACTACTGGTATGTTGCAGGTGGTGCAATTTTTTACTATGCCCAAAATCTATACAAGAAAATTTGCTCTTTAAATTTGGCAAAGGAGTTGGAAACTAACTCTTCGTTTCGAAACATATATCACATGTTGCTCATGTTACCCCTTTTACCAGTTAATACAATTATGGATGGACTGAGGAATATTGAACAATCGGCAGAAGACATGATCTTAAATCCCAAAACTTTTAAGTTGTTTGACCATGTCCGTAGCGAGTGGATATCAAAAGTGACACCAGAATTCTTTTGTGTTCACAAGTAATCATCTACCCAGTGCCACCTATTTATTTTAACATGCTGCTTTTAGTCTGGAAAACCGGATAAACGAGAACATAATAGCGCCTTTTAAAAAATTACGAGACCTGTTTATGATCCACAAAAATAAGTATACCAAGTATCACTCGCCCATTCTTCAAGTCATTCAAAAAGTTATTGACTTGGAGGTATTTTTACGGACGGCCTATTCCAATTCTTCGAAAAGGTCGTTCGCTAGAGACTTGACCAGCACACAAAAAAAGACGGTTTTGAGGGCTTGGAATTATATAGACAACCATCCCAAAATTAATATCAACTACTTCTTCTCGAAAGTGACTGGATATATTAGGCTAATGGAGAATCAGGTGAGGTTTTCGTATTGTAATGTTGACATTATATTCAAAGGAGCTAACATATAAATCATATTATAGACCTACATTGCCATATTTCATCTTTATTTGATTTTTTTTGTAAGTAGACTTTTAAACACGAGTAATTACACCAGTGATTAATCTATGTAATAAGGGTTAGGATTGAGGATTCTGCTATTTCTGTGAATTTATATATTAATTTTTTTACCATTCTTACATTTGAAGGTGTTATTGGTGATTTTGTGAGTGGAGAAGTCATTTCTGTTTTAAATGCAAAATAGAAATTGATCAAAAATAAAATTGTTGCAATAATTCTAATCTTTTTTTCGAAGTCACGAAATTTGATAGTATAAACTCGGGAGTAGTGATTGTTTTCCCATCCATATGTGTAAAACACATTTTATATCAAAAGAATGGGAAGGCAGTTTACCAATAATTGTTGTTTATGTTGTCCTGTCTTCTGTGTCATTGTTATTCTTGCTCAAAACTCGAAAACGAAAAATAAAAATTACACTTATTACTTTTATGTTCCAGTACAAGACTAAAAAATACTTGGTATTTTTCGGATAAAGTTTTTCATGTACATTTCTTTAAGGTTATGTGGAATATCCGTCACTGTCAGTCAAAGGCATTGGTTTGTCAACATCTGCCAAGTTGTTTGGTAAAATTAAATTACAATATTTTAATTAAACAAATCATAACAAAAATAAAATTAAAACTCCTCCCAGAACGTTGCCCTAATATTCTCAATGTAACATGATATTGTGGTCTCACACCATGTAGTGAAAATATCACTGTCAATTAGCAACCTGTAATTTGTAATAATCAGCTAAGATACTTTTTTTGGGTATTATAAGTCCTACTATATTGTATATGTGAATCGAGCAACACTTGTTTTGTAACATGCAAAATATTTTTAGGTGTGGATTTGGGGTTTCTATCAGTACCAAGATCCATTGGATGAGGAATTAATTGATGCAACTAACTTCGTGATAGAAACGAACGATTTAGTAGAGGAAGATGTGGTAACTCATGAGTCCAATGTTGAGCTAGATGAATCAGATTATGAGTGTGCTAAATCGACAAATCCCAATCAAAAAGTAGGTAGAGGTAGAACTTTTTCCAAACTAGGTGATAACTACTGTACTTTTGTTTTAGACCAAAACTAATCAAGATCAGCCCATTGTAATGGAAGCAGTATTTGATAAAAATGGTCAGGTTATATTACAGAAAGCTTCTACAAAAAATTCGTCAGTTGACAATTTGGAAAATGTTTAGTTGTAGAAAAATAAATGTTTTTAATCTATTCTGTTTTGTTATCTAGCCTTTGGAAATTATCTTGACTCGACTGTAATGTTATATTATATATATTATACCAAGTGCTACTTAACTCTTATGGCCTCATTCCTGAGCACAGCGTTAACAATGGTGATGATGAAACGTTTTACACTTTTTTTTTTAATACTTGTAGCATCAAGTAAAAATTTCTGAATCCTTATATTTTATTAAATAAATCGATATAATGTTATATAAATTCACAAACATTTTGATATATAATATATATATCATTGAGGCTGTGGGAAAACTAATTATAAACAAATATTTTTAAAATGTATATTTGAAATCCTTCGTAAACAAGTTACATTTTGAAATAATTAAAAATAATACATGGAAATATGGAGGTTAAGAAATTAAGCGGAATTTATGCAAGATGCTAAATCAAATTTAACTCCAACTGGGTATTACTAAACAAGAAATGACAAATAAGGGAACTAGATTTCTGTGCTACAAGAAAAATGACCTTAAAACCTTTAAATTTCAAGAAAAAAATCAATAAATATGTTCAAAATCAAATTTTAACATTTTTGAGAAATTAAACTTCAAAATTTTTATATAAGATCTGTGTGTTTTATAACAATACAAAATTATGTGGGATTACCTTAATTCAAACATTTTCTTTTTTACTATCTAACTGTAATTTAATGAAAAATTAAAAAGTGTTTTTAGCTGACATTTGATGTTAACTTCGATGGTTGCACAATGGATGTTTTTCTAGCAGGAACAGTCTCAGGTGTTGGTATAGCTTCGCCAGTTGGGAACGGCACGGGTCCCGGCACTTTAATCAGCTGTTTGTTAACTCCACCCATTTTTTGCTTGGCCATTTGATAATCGCCAGAATCAAAAAATTTTTGACCTTTCGCCAATCGTTTCTGAAGGAATGTGGAGTGACCACCAACTCGACCTGGCCCTCCAGGAATTGCTGGATATTTTGCTTTTAATTTGGCTTCCTCAAGTTTTTCTAATTCTTGAGGACTCATCTCAGTTTCAGAAGGACCTGCTTCCATAGTCGATTCTTCACTCATGACTTTCTGTTTAATAGAGCTTAGGATTTAACTGTCAATAGTCCCCTGGTTTTATACTACAATATCTCTAACCTTTGCACAAAGTAGCAAAGTGAAGAATTAAAAATTGGCTTTGGATAGCTTTTCCTTTGTTAACCAATAGACTACAAAATTATGCATACCCAATTTTTGAAAAAGACATCGGTAAACCCCATCACAAAATATAAACAATTACCACAGAACATAGCTAGAATGTTTTCTCCGTCCTTCTATGGCAGAGAAATTGGTATTTATTTTTCTGTGGCCACGCACGACACATTTAACAAAAGCACGGTAACGTAACCACTCTGCAAAAAGAGCATAGCGATTGCAGTGTAGAGTACACGTCACCATCAAAGCGCTAATCGCTGTGGCTTTCCTTTAAGTTACCGTTTTTTGTCTTTTGTACATTTTTTTTTCAGAATAGCTTACTAACTTAAGAAGCATCCCGTTTTACCACAGATTTTACGGTAAAGTTTGTTTGACACTTGTGGAAAATGTAATGTGACCTATACACATGCAGGCATGTTCAGTTCCACGCGCGGCTCGAAGCGAATCAGATTGTGTCTGATTTTTAGAGCAAGTGCGAAGGCCAACTTCACTTTTTGCACAGCAGCAGGCCCCACCAACTGGTGAACCTCGAGGTTTACCTGAATAGTGTGTGGCCGCAATTCGTTTCGCTCCTGCTCGCGGACTTACCTCGATACACTTGCTTGCGGACTTGCCTGCATGTGTATAGCCCCCATAATAAGCCACATATCGACTATTGGATTAAATTTATAGAGACCTGCCGTTCTACGAGGCAAATTATATAAATATTCGCAACTCATCGCGAGATGGTGCTGCGATCTGTAAAAGATGGTCGGTTGGTGGTTACCGAACGGACGGTCGGAGCACAGAATAAACATTGTTTTGTCATTAGTGAAAGTGGTAATGTCGGTGATAGAGGGAAGACACATTTTACGAACAATTATTATTTTATGTAGTTACAAGAATAACTCGTGTAAAGTATGTTCCTGAGGTTTTATTCAAACCGTAATAAACCCCAAAAAGTGTTAGAACGCGAAACTACCTAGACGATCTTGGAATGAAAATATACATAAGTGATTCTTAAATAATATACGTATTTTAAATTAATAGTTTGTGCATAATAACTTTTTCCTTACTTTAAAAATTTGATCTCACGATTCATATTTTATAATATCATATTTTCTATCCACGCCACTGTTGGTTGGTGGTAACACCTGGACAACTATTAATTGCAAATTGCGTGCGATTGTTGAAGAAGAAACGCCGAGACAATAATTACAGTTTTGTTCTCCCGTAACATCAGCCCTCATAAATTCATAATAGACGTCAAAAATAAATTGGCAATTTCTATTGGAAGCCCGTCAGCGGTGGTATTTATGGGTTTGTTTAGAGCGCAAATTGAATTTTGTAAACAACAAATGGAAGGGAAGTTCAATATGAAAATGGCATCGTTTGTCAAGTGACGTTTCTAACAATCGAAATAACTAATCAAGGAACGAAAATGTCCAACAGGAACGGTTGGTTCCCACTAGCAGTCGCCAGAAACAAGGCCGAACAATGTTGTCTGGCGCTGGAGTTGGAACATTTGGAAAAGGAGAAAAGGACAATGATGCGCACACTTGGAATGCGCAGGAAAATGTTTAAGACCAAATATTTTAAAATGAATGACGAAGCTGTCAATGTATGTTATTCCCTCCATATGATGCTTGTATGGGCAGTATTTTCACCGCTTGCAGGCTCGAGCCTTTTGGGAAGGAAGTTACGAATATCTGGCCGAAAAAATAATCCAACAATCGAATACCAATAATGACGCCAAGGGATTTTTGAATATCGAGGTATATAAAGCGTGTACAATCGCAATAATAAAATTTCATGAACCAGCCTTCACAGTAGTAGAAAAACTTTTTTTTGTTTTGTATTTTTCGTTGATCATATCATATCATATTAACCGTTTTAAGCAAATTCGCGATTTACTGTTCACTGACAATGAAGTCGACAAAGAGAAAATCCTCTGCCTTCACTTGTTGTCCGCCCACAGAGCGGAAACTCTCGCCCCTCCAAGAAAGAAGTATATGCGCAGTTGCAAGATTCACTCCCCCGTGGAAAAGCTATTGGAACGATCGAAAAGAATAAAAAATATTCATCGGGAACTGAAAATCGCGAATGCCCTACCCCTCTATACACTAGGTATTTTGGTCATACGCTTCGTTCTACATTTAGGTATAGGTTTGTTCAACCTCAATCACAAACAGATTTGAAATAAACAAATATTATTATACTTACGTGCTTTCCAGACTTCGATTAATGTGTGTTAACAAATAAATTATTGCAATTGAGGTTATGTGTGACATAATTAGTAAGTCCTGAAGATAAAACACATTTAAACGATATATACATTTAAATATCTCAGGTGGGAAGACAGCAACGTACTGTAAAATTTTAGCCATCTTCAAATAAGCGTTAAATTCATTGGTTAAATATTCAAAATGTTGGTGGATGCGCAGGGATCCACTCTTATTGTGATTACGCATTGAGTTGAATGTCCTTCTAAGCAGAATTTTATTCTGTTGCGAGAAATAATAAAGAAGCATTTATTTTAATTTGGACAGAGTGGATCATTCTTCTGTAAATAGGACAGATCTACATTGATTTTGATGTCTGAAAGATTTTTGCCTATTTGTTTATTTCTGGGGGCCCTTTTTCAAAAAACGCCTTTGTGCTCTATGACATCATTATTTTATAGCGCTCTATATCTTAAAAATGTTAATTTATTGATATACCTACCTATGACATGAATATTTGTTTCATGTTAGGCGTGCTTTTTAAATTATTTGATTTTTACAAAATTAAATGTGATTTGTCTACACTGGATAATGTAAAATTTTTCTGCAAAGCAACAGAGTTGGCGCAGAAGCGTGAATACAGCGTTGTAACTTGCTTATGCGCAATTTGGTTACCGTGCTACTGTGTTCGCGGCTGTTGTCTTCGTTGTTACGTATTTCAAGTGTTCTAGAACGTATAAATATGGAAAGAAGAATTTCGTGTGAACAATCCAAATTAACTTTTGTTCTATCCGTGGTAGTTATGTGGTAGTAAAGCAAAGGCAAACTCAAACTTCTTTTGCGAAAAATGTATTCCACGCCTATTTTGGAGTAAAAATTGGCGACCAAGACTCCTTATACTGTTTGTTCCGTTTGTGTTGAAGCATTTAGAAACTGGCAAAAAGGTAGGAAGAAATGTATAAGCTTTGGTATTCCTATGGTATGGCGAGAGCCTAGGAATCACAGTCATGATTGTTATTTTTATTCGTTTAATGTTCAAGGATTCAACAGAAAAAATAAGAAACAAATGTGCATCACAATGTTTACTCTGCTATTCGACCAGTTCCTCATCAGAGAAATATAATAAAATAAATAAAATTAAGATATGACTCAGATTTCACACCAGAGTTCAGAGAGCCCGAAGTGTTTAATCAGAGCGAATTAAATGATTTAATTAGAGATTGAGAGAATGGCTCTCTGGAACAAGCCTTACACCTGGTAGCCAAAATGTATTAAGAGACAGATATAAGTTTCTTGGGAACTCTAAGGAAGATAACTACAAAAGTATTGTTCAAAATATGTTACAACACTTTCATCGTCTAGTAATATGAGTTTCAACGTGCATTTTCTCTTTTCACACTTGAACTATTTTCGTAAAAATCTTGGATCAGTTAGCGAAGAACAAGGAGAGAGATTTCACAAGGACATTAAGGAAATGCTGGATGTTGCCTATGCCTATGTCCTTAAAAATACACAGTCGAATGTCCGGACAACGCAAGTTTTTTAGCAAAAAGTCGAAGATTTCACTCAAAAAAGTTCGAGTAAAGTTTTTTTTTTCACTATTTTTGACTAGGATTCCACTGAATAAAAAAATAAATTATTTCAGAAATATCGTTTTTTTTTTTTAAATATTTGTTAAAAAAACCTTACGTGATACAAGTAAATGCATAGAATTTTTCAAATCAGCCTACCAAAATTATATAAAATTAGTTTTCAAAGTAAAAACATCTAACATCTCTCAAAAAGGTCAATTTTGTAGATCTGTGTAATAGATGCGATGATGCCGAACTAACTATTCCGAATTCTTACATTAATACCAAAAATATTGTTATATAGGAAATATAATACCATTTTGCTTAGAGGTAACGGAGTTCGGTCCCAATTCCGAGTTGATTAACGACGGGAGGCTGGCCACAAGAGTCTTAATTAACGAAAGAATTCGATTGCTCATCGACACAACATTGACAACTTTAATACAATCGAACTCGGAGAAAGCATGCGAAATATTGGCCATGATAAACGATATCAACTGCCTGTACGGAATTTTCAATCAAAAGAAAATTATGAATTTTCTGGACCAACTTAAAGGATGCGATTTCTTAAATAGGTTTGTTTCAATTTATTGTTAGTGGAAAAATCACCTTTTGTAAGTTGTTGTACTAATTGGAAATGACGTCAATAAGGAAACTACGAAAAATTTAAAGGATCTTTTGTGATCTTATAGTTAAATTATTGTTATAGTCAAATATAGTCAGCCAAGGCCACTTCGATCGAAATAAGAAGTTAAAGTTGTTGGTGTAGATCACAGGGAAACAGAACGTTTAGTTTGGTTGTGGTTTCGATACAATAATGTTGTGAGATAGAAGCAACATTTCTATTTATTTATAAATTTACAAAATAAAAATATTAAAGCTTTTACACCTTATAAAACTGATTTCTTGGTCTGAAAGGAACTGTTTAGTTGAATGACCTTGCAGCAAATCGCAGTTTTTAATCCGGTAACGCCACTTTGAACTAACCAATTGGAATATATGTTTTGAACACAAATGATTTATGATACACCCTGTATAACGTGGAAGGCTCAGTTCCATCGGTTTATGTAGTAAGGTAACTTTAATGTTTGTTGAAATAGCCAAAAGAGATGATGATGATAATAATTTAAAATATGCAATGTTATTTTCGTGTTGTATTTCGCTAGGTAAGGGAAACATTTCGAGTCAAAACAAACCAGAAATCTTATAAAGTTAACCTGATAAAGGATTAATGCAATATTTCGGTTCTATTATATTAGTTTATTTTACAAGTTGTTATTAAAAAGATACGTATGTTAAACTTTAAACACTACGCGCTTCCTTGACTACTTGCAAAAGGCATTATATCATAGTTTCAGCCAGTTTCTAAAATACCGACATATCCAATTTCAACTTTGCACTCTGTTTGTTTTAAAATACCAATTTTTGTATTCCATTAGATAAATGCATCTATTCATTTTGATCTAAAAAATATCGTAACCCGATATGATCATTTTTCCACAAACTGCATTTAGACTTCAGGAAAGTTTGGAGTATTAGTGTTCTAACCAGAAATATTTATAATCAATTTGAAAACATCAACGCTTATTGTACGGATATACTACGTTCTCTAGATGGCACGCATTTCGGCACTCATGTTTAAGATATAGTTTTTAATTCAGCTTCCAGAATACTACCTTCAAATATTTCCCCTACATCCTGTATTATAAAAATTTTGCTTCATTTGCTATAACCAAATTTACAAACCAAAATTATAACGACAGCAGTCATTGTCAAAATGCAACTAAATTTAAAAACCTTGTAACTATTCTTCATACTGCTTCTAGTTTCGACTCGTTCGTCCTCTCAGTCCCGTTTCGTGTAAAACCCATTCAATTGGACATCCGTACCCCTCCGATTCATTTGGAACATCTGCTGAAACAAATACGTCAGAATGTGCTCCAGATGCGTGTTCGAGCTGAGACGAAGTCAGACCAACATCTAAAGGAAGCCGAGCAAATCAGTCATTCGAAAGTTGTCCCTGTTCCGAAAGTTTTTCGAAAGAAAATGCGGTCCGATTCTACTGATGGTAAGGGTTCTTCTACCCGCAATCTTTATTCGGGACGATGAATTGAAAAATAAAAGTTCAAATAAACTTTTGTGTGTTGTGCTAGATATCTATATATTAATTTTATTTTATTATATCGGACTCAATTCATTAGAGTAGTCCAAAGGTGTTGTAATACTGTTGGGGATTTATCCTGTTTGTGCCTAAAAGAACTAGGAGGAATCATTAGGAGGATTCACGCCATTAAACACCTAAAACAACCAATTTTTTTAAATTTAATAAAAATCGAGAGGTAAAAAGAAAAACATAAATAAACCCCAGTCAGAAGAACTTGCTACTGATTTGTATATAAATAAAAATTTACACTTTTTATGCTGATTATTGAGAAAGGTCGTGGAAAGTACAAAAACAATAAGAGTTATTTGAAATTTTAAATGTAACTAGATAAATTTTCTTACAATAAAAATCATAACTATAATATCTAATCTATAATCTATTTTTTTAAGCTTTTGTGCTGTGAGAAATCCTGAGTTTTCTGGGATTTTGTATAGTTGATTTTTAAAAGTTACTAGTATACTTTGTACACAATTGTATGTGATATTTTTTTGATTTGATGATAAAATTTTGCTTCTTATTGCGTTAATTATTTATAAATTGTAAAAATATCAAAATTATTTGAGATTTGCTTGTCATATTTAGTGGGAAGTTGGAAATATTCGGTGCTCCCCTTAAATTATGCCAAATAAATTTTTCGGTTTTCTACTAGATAGGAACAACATGGGTATGTGGCTGGTTGACCGTTTTTTGTTTAAATAGACATAAACAAACTGGTACATATAGATCTCACACTGGTGGATCGATGTTCGAAAACGGTAAGGTCAGGTTTTTCTTTGTGAAATGGAAGTTCGATTTTCAATTCGATATATTTACCCGCTTCCAATCAGCCTACAAAAGTCATCATTCATTTTCTTTGGTTGTATAGAAGGGAGGCTGAAAAGAGTTGATGAATTGTATTCGGATAACACACCTACGCTTTCAACTGCTGCACCCAAAAAACTAGGACGTCATTTGGATATTAATTTTATTCGTAAGAACATTAACGAAGCTGGATTGGCGAGAAAAGTCGAATACCATTCCGGTAAGGCATTTTAACATTCGGGGCTTTGTGCGAAAATCCACCTGTTCGGTATGTCGTAGATGACGATCATGAAGATCAGGTCGTTCAAAAGTTCCGCAAACATTTTAATAGATATAGCAGAAATTCAGGACATAAAGAAGGTATCGCCGAAAGATCCAATATACAACCAATAAGCTTTCCCCAGAGCCTTTACTTGATTGCGAATGAAGAAAAGAGCCAAGAAGAAATCGAAGAAATGTTTACATGCGATGATAAAAACGAGGAACAAAAGTTTGAAGAAAAGTATATAGTTTCTAAGTACAGCTGTATGGTCAGTCCACTTATGCATACACATACACATACCAACAACCATTCCTTATTGAAAAAGGCTCAGCATGAACATTTTTTTAAGCCATAGCAAGAATGCATGCGACGTAAAACAAAGAACTTGTATTCACTTGTATTTGATATATAAAAGTACCCTAGTGACGTTTCTATGCGATTCAGACATTTATACAATTAAAATTGCAATTTTCCAAATTCAGTTTTTACCATTTAATATTGCTCAAAAATCAAGTCTATGTGTAGCTTTGTTTAGTTGAGGCTTTTCCTGTTAAAATGTTTCAATTGCAACCACCTTGTAATGGATGTCTCATTTTTATTGGTATTACTGCAAATTATTAATAGTATACTATGCAACAAGTGCGGTAAACCGCAATTGAGTCACGAGTTTATTTGCCACTAGCGGAGCGAGTGCTTAATAAATGAGTGACTTAAAAAGTTTACCAAAGGTGTTGCAAAACTATACTTTTTCTATTACCGTCAGTTTTTGGGTACATTTTTGCAAAACAACACGAATACATTCACTGACATGACTGTCATAATTGAAAAAGGTCAAAATTCAAACCGTGCTTTAAAATCTCCGAAAACATGCGATTGCTCCCAGACCCGTGCGGTAATATCACGGAAATGCCCGAAGTGAGACAAAAAACTCACTTGGTAAAGTGACACTTCCCGCACGCTAGATCGGTGTATTACAGAAGGGAGTAGAAAAAACATTTTATTATAATCTTACCTATAGACAATCTCTATTGAGCAAATTATGAAATATTACCTTGAATATTCTTATAGTGGTTGAGTAATGCTTGCGTTCAGCATAAGAAGCAGAAGTCCTTCGGTTGAATGCATCGATTGACAAATTGTTCTATAACTTTTCGGTTGAACATTTGATTATTTGGGGTTAAAACCTGAAACAATACATATATAGTCAAAAACAATAAATAAAATGACTACTTTACATTCAAGCCTAACTTCAACTCAAACTAGTTTGTTCCAGGCCAGGCTAGTTATCCTTGAGTCACACAAATTTATCCTATGAAAAAAAAAAAAAAATTCTGCCAGCTTTGGTTAGTTTTTGCTTTTCTTCTTCTAAAGGTGGCTCTACTACTGTGAGAATTGATGCGCCGTAGGCAGCATTGATGTTTTCATAGAGAAGGTTATGATTTTCCGCCCAAGCCCTTAGATTTCACCCACTAGCTCCCTGCCCTTCGCACCATTTTCTTTCTAAACAACTAACCAATACCAAACAGCGATTTCCACATACTTAACTTGCTTTCCAGAACATTTAACGAAGATCTAGACATATTTTGAAAAAATGCGGCCTCAAAAATGCCGTATCCAAACTTTTTTTTTATTTTAAATTTCGCGCATGCGCATGTTAGATGGAACTTCTCAATTTTTTTATTGTTGCTTTATAAATTCCCGTATTTTGAGCATAGGTAGAGCCTCTATATCCTTAGTAGCTATATGTCCTTAACCCATTGGTGCTAGATCACTGGTTTGACCTCTGCTTGGATCATTGCACCAAATATTCATTGTTAAAAGTCATTTTTGTTAAAGTGGTAAAATGCATTGAACAGTTCTTTTCTTGACTTCAAGAGAGGAGCATCAGGCTAAACCAAAAACCAACAAAAGAAAACGCAGTAATGATATTAACAAGAGCAGGTTACATTTGAAGCAGACGACCTGTCCTGCTTGCATGGAAAAGTACAAAATTCCTCTGCCCAGCCCAAAAACACCCAGAGTTAAGGTAAATGTTTCGTAAGTAATCAGCTGCGATCAGAAATTGATATTTTTTGTCTTTACTTAAATACATTTACACCATTCGATTATTCCCGTAGCCTTCGTCCGTGATTCCCCTGGCACCAGATGAAAATCCTTCATTAAAAACCAACCGGAAAAACCGATTGTCGATGCTGATTAACAAGGAAATGTTTAAGCTTCAGTCGTACGAAAAAAGATTCTCGAGCGAAGAAAAATCGGGAAGGGGAAGTGCGCGTAGCCGTGATTTTATGCTGAGCTCCTCTTCGGACTATTTGTACTTGTCCTCTCTCGAATTGGCCAAGATCCGGCAAGAGATTCGTGAAAAGGAAACTCAAAAGAAACTGGAAAAGTTTTTAAACGAAGAAAAATAAAACGTTCCCGCAATTTGACTTCACCGTTGTTCTTATTGGAGAGCCACTCATTGCTTAATACTATATGTAACAAGTTTCGGAAACGCCATTTTAGTCACGACATGCGGAGCGAGTGTTTAATAAACGAGTGGCCAAGGACGTTTATCGAGTTGTTGAATAGTATACTTTATCTACAACCATTAGTTTTTGGGCCCATTTTTTAAAAACAGCAAAAATACTGACTGACGTGTGACGAGACCGTCACGTTTGAACGGTGCATAGTGCACATTAACCGCTGGAACAAGAATGTCAACCATTCCTTCTCCTTCCAAATAAGTTTTAATTCATAATTCCAATTTTTGATATAATCTATGTTGAATTTTCTCGAGTTTATACTTGTGCACCTCATAGCACGGGCGCCACATACAAGCAGTGTACTCTAAAACCGACGATTGCACAATAAATCTCCATCCCAAAAATAGTGCCAAGCAGCTTCAGAGTTCTACTAGTATAGTGAACTAAATATGATGAGAACGAAGCCAAACACCGAGACCCTCGATTAGTAGAGTTCTCCAAAATATATACTGTTACACTCGCTTATTTAGAGTAACAACCCGCACTCAAGCAAACGGTATTTATTATTATAAAAGTGGGTAGAAACAGTTTGTAGGAATGGAAACAGAATTTAAACGGTTATACGCGGTAAAATCTCTGTATCAACTCGTTGCCGACTGACACTCGCGTCAGTACTGACACAGCAGTCTGGGCCTACGGTGGTACGTCCAGGTGGGCCTACTATGCGTGTTCGTTACAATACCGCTTTAACATCATTTTATGGTTTTGACTTCGGAATGAGTTTATGACCCGCCAGGGCCGTATTTAAGATGTTAGCCGACACGAACTGTGCCGTGCGGACTGTTGTATTTTAAGAGTAATATTTAAAATCAAGAATGGTTTTTTTCACTGCATGGAGTGATAATAATCGATGAATCTCACCGATGAAACTTCACAAATCCGCATTTGTATGCTCGAAGTACCGAAGTACGGTTCTGGAACGTCATTGTGGAATTACGAATCTATTTATTGAGGGTTACAAAGAGAAACCCAAGTGAGACAGGCCTGTGGTTAAGTCATCATAAAAATTTACCAAAGTTAAAGAAAATAATTATGTCGTAAAAGAACTCTATTCGGCTTGATGGTACCTGCAACTTTAAAGGGTAACAAAATTTGATTTTTAGATCTGCCAAAAGGACAATGTTACGATATTCTCTATAAACATGAAATAAAACTTTGACCTGACTTGCAATTTGAATATATTTTCCGTCAAACTCAAAAACTTTTTTATTGAGATTTTTTTTGTGAAACGTAAAACGTAGTACAATTCTTCATTTGTAAAAATTCCATGCATGGCGAAATATATAAATACACACGGCTACTGATGATATAAGAAATCTGTAAAACTACGTTAATGAAGCATATTTCAGCACTTGTAGGTTCCTCTCCGAAAAATCCTATTTTTACACATTGCGCAGCGTTTTTGTTAAACCATCATTAAATTATTTTTCTTATGCACGATATATTGAATTTTTGTAGTTTGAAAACCTCTTGGTCGATTCCACAAATTATTACTAACACTTTAGAGACTCCCCCGGTAGTTAATTCTTATTGGTAGACAAATTCTCTCCCGCAAAAAAGTATGCAAAGTAAAGTCAATGGCCACGAGCCGCCTTTGGTAAATACGGCCGCATAAAACTCCTATAATTTATTTATATTGTTCTCAATCATAAACAAAACCATTTATCGCGGTGCCGCATAGCCATGCAACTCTTTCGAGATCGCAGTGATAAGAGACGGGAAAGCAGTAAACGTGAATTATATAATGCGAGTAATTGGCGCAAAAGTAATAACGAATTCTTAAAATTTATCAGGTGCCCGAAGGATTTATAATCGGAAATAATCAGGGAATTGAATCCAAGTAGGCTTCACACGGTGACGCGGCAATATCTCAAACGCTCGCCGACGTAAAATATGAAATAAACAAGCCCTGTGCTCCAACCATCAACTAGTTCTTCCGGTCTTTCTTCATTTTTCACGTTCGCGAAATAATATGGTCTGGAATCGTCGTTGGTGTTGGAGGACACATGGGTATGGTGAGGATCTCTTAGACTCAGATCTGCATATACCGATTTTTCGAACCCAACAAGATTATATTTTAATTACTATATACCGTTCTGCGACATTTAGTGTTTCGTAACTGATTTGGAACGTAAAACATCTAAAATGATGTTTTCAAACATCATCAAATCGATTTAATGAACCGAAAGCACGTTTTAAAAGTGATGAAGTTTTTATTGTTTATAATAAAAGGATTGAACACAGTTAACACAAAATTGTAGTGCAGTTTATTAAAATAAAATTAGTGAAAAATATAATACGGCAAAATAAATGCAGATCAACGAAATAATATAGTTGCTTTGTTGAGAGTTCTTAACGAACGACCTACAAACGTTTCTAAAAAGTGCATCATAGAACCAAAAAAGACGTTAAATGACTATTCACAAATAATACAATTTATGAGTCTTCATAAATCTCAACGAAAAGGCTCTCATAGAATAATTCCCAAGATGATTTTCAGAAGCTAATATTTACACGTGCAGATAAAGGGAAGACAGAAGATAGCTATCGATCTCCCAGAATATATTTCAAAAACCAACAATTTTTTTAAACCAGAACTTTTTCAATATATCAAACACGATCCTACCGAGTTATATCAAAGACAAGTCAAGGAAGTAATTACTAACTCCACACTATTTAGCGACAAAGACAAGTATTTTTTAACAATTATGAATCCACAACCGCCAAAATTATATGCTTTAGTTGAATTACATAAACAATATATGCCCATTAGATCAGTCGTGTCTTATATAACAGCTCCAGCAGCTTAAACTCTCAACAAAATTAATAAATATTTTAAAGTTCCACACAGATTTTAAACCAAAATTTGCAATAAAAAATTCTTTCTACAAAACTTCTGGATTCCTCCTGCGTCGGTTTTTGCGGTCGAAATTGCTGACGTTTCGCCAATCATCCTGTTGGCTTCTTCAGAGCTTGACTGAAACTGGGCATAAAATTTTATTCGATAAAACTAAAATTTTTGCATGTAATCAGCAATCTTAACCGCGACTCAGGTCTCTACCTGTCACCAATTTGGGAATCAGTCATCCGAGACGGTGTTTATACCCCTCATTAGCGCCCCCCTCAAACAATATATAAGCAGGTACAGAGTAAAATACGAGCCAGTTTCAATTAAGTAAAAAAACAGTTTCAGTCAAGCTCTGAAAAAGTTAACAGGATGATTGGCGAAACGTCAGCAATTTCGACTCAGCAAAAACCGACGCAGGAGGAATCCAGAAGTTTTGTAAAAAGTATTACAGTAGCCTGTGGAAGTTTCTTTGAAAAAAAAATCTTTTGAATTAATCAACAAAATTAAAGATATCAAAATCCCTTCTAACGCAACACTATTGTCTTTTGGTATACAAAACTTATTTCGCAGTATTCCACCTATGGATGTGATAGATTTAGTAGATTTCACCCTAACTCGGAAACAGGTTGACCCATTGGTGAAGCAAAATTTATTAGATTGCTTAATAGTATCTTTAGATCAAAATTATTTTCAATTTAATGGACAGATTTACATCTCTAAGGAAGGTTTGATTATGAGAAACCCACTTAGTCCTTTGTTAGCAGAGATTTTTATGGATAATTTGGAAAATATCATACTAGAACATTCTTCAAGTAAAAGTTTTCTATGGTGGTATAGATACGTGGATGATATCTTCGCTTTCTTTGTTGGAACGGACAGACAATTGAATTCTTTTTTAAATTACATTAACTCATTACATAATCGTATAAAATTCACTATCGAGATTGAACAGGATAACTATTAATTTTTTAGACTTAACTATTACGAACACGCAAAACAAATTAGATTTTTCCATTTATCATAAACCTTCACACACGGACACAGTCATACATAACAGCTCAAATCACACAAAATGGTTGCATTTTAGTCTTTTATACATAGACTTCTTAATACGCCACTCTCAACAGAAAATTACAGCAAAGAACTTAATGTCATTAAACAAATTGCACTGAACAACGGCTACAATCCGTCCATTATAGATAAAATTATAAATAAAAAACAAATTCAGACAACAGTAAGCTCTATTTATCCGAAACCTAATACAGAACACGACCCATTTAAAACAATTACATGCATAGGAGAACCTAGTGGAAAAGTTTCAAAACATTTATCAAAATATGGTTTAAAAATAGCTTTCAGAACTAGCAACATGATAGGAAAATTTTTAAAAAACAATAAAACGAAATATCCAAAATCTCAAAAACAGGTTGAAATGCCGATCTTGTCCTAAAATTTATATTGAACAAACAGGTAGATCCTTCAAGAAACGCATTAACGGACATAAAAGAGCGTTTAAAAATAATAGTCTAGATTCTAATTATGCTACACACTTAAACGCAGAAAAACACATTTTTGACGACAATTTTGATATTTTACATACAGTCACAAAAAGTAGAAAATTAAATTTGTTGGAAGCCATGGAGATTAACAAAATGAGACATTCAAATGTATTGCTTAATTATCAATTAGATTTAAATACCTCTCCTTTATTGAACTTAAATTCTCACAACAACATTAATTAAGGTTTTATGGTCATTTTTCGGTATATATAGTGGCAGGTAGTTTGTAAATATTACATTTGATAAAGACACCGTGTTGTCCAAACAATTGTCATGTCAAAATATATAATTTCGTGAAAACCTGAACTTTTAGTTCTTAATTATTTTGATAAATGGATTTTCATCAAGTAAAAGCCACCTCAGTTCAAGTTCTACAATCGCTTCCCTACCCGAAATCATGCATATAATCAACAAGCTTCCACTATAAGGTTAACTTACCAACCAGAGACAATTGAACTAGGACAATGTTGGTATACCGATAACTCCAAAACTTATGCTGACGTTGAGGCTGTCATGTACCCCTTTTCAAATAGTTAATGTCTTATTATCCTGCATTCGGGCCAACTATGGCTTCCAAGACAGGTTGAATAGGATGTTTAGACAGTTGTTCCTTTGACAGACTGGTTTTAGTGTGTTGTGTTTTCATCTGTTTTATTTTAATGCGCTGTATCTATTTATGTGCTGCCGTCACCTTGAATTTCCATTTCCATACTACATTATGATTTGATACCGTCACTGGCATTTTTGTAAATAAATAAATGTTTAAGATCTAGATTTGGGCACTGATCCTAGTAATGAAGCATATTGCACTTCAGATTTACCTATTGCTATTATCAGCGAAACAGAGTAACCGTGATCTCCAACTTCAGTACTAGTTTTTTTCCCAGCAAATGGTAACCTTTAAATGTAGTCTGGAAAAAATATGTGCCCAATCAAATATCTTAGAATTGTTCATGCGCTTTTATTTCATTTCATTTCATTCCTAATCAATTTATGCAATTTCATTCATTTTACTCACTTGATTAATTTTTTAAAATTACATATTAGAGTAATTGTTTGTGATAAATGGACACTCTCCATTTGCACATAAATAAATAAATATATAAAGGAAAATGATATATTGGTAAACCTTGGCAGTAAGGTAGTATGGTAGTATGGATTTCTCTTTAAGGAGGTTTAACTATTTCGAAGGAGTAGGTATGACAAAATTATTTTAAGTAAAGCTAACCTAATTCTTGGTGGGTGATCAATTTCAAGAGGATTTAACTTCTAAAATACCCTGGAAAATAAACTTCTAAAACAGAGGTGCGATAATTGTATAGGTTTATATAGGCCAATTTATTACGTTGTTAGTATCAATTTATACCTAAATCACAATAACATTAAAGCCTTCTAATCCAGTTACACGATCGGAAGTTAAGTTGGCTAATTATTCTCTCACTCGGGCCAATATAATTAACCCAGTTTTACGCGATGACCCACCCACGCCACAATTCACGTTACGCTATGCCAAAAACTGAGCGAGATCACCAAAAAACCAACGAAGCGGCCACGCTGACTGACCATGCAAAATATTTTGAGCCATGCAGAGAAATCTCTAATCACACATGGCGCGAAAACATCGCACTTTTACGGCGAACGCGTCCGGAAATGGCCGAACGAGTCTTAAACCCCGCGCGTTTAAAACAATTGACTACCTGTTGCCGTGAAGTCATGGCAACCGCAATTCCCTGAACGCCGCCGCTAAAAGATTTTCAGTTGTCGATCGACTAGGTTATACATTAACCTCAACTTGTGTGTGTGTGTGCTGGTTTAAAGTTTACGCTGCCGTCTATGTTTTAGATACACCACCGTATTGAATCTCGTGGTTGACTGGGACGGTTCTTGTGCATTTTTTGTAGATGACATTCTCAGCGGCTCGTTAATTTGTAATATTCGCACCGTATCCGGTATATTGTGTTGTGTTGTTGACATTCGCTGCTCCGTGTGGTTGTTTGCAGACATGTGTACGTGATTTCCAAAACTTAAGACTGGATTGACAGTTCTAAAGATAATTCATATAGGTAAGTAGCTGCTCGGTTTGACTGGTTTCACCGGAAAGGCATTGTTTTTAGAAATTAGAAAAAATTGGAATAAAATCTTCCTATTTAATTTCGATCAAAATAGAAGTGTAATGACGGCAATTGCGTTATCCACGCTTACTTGGAAGAAAGTGATGGAGGTTGTAGTTCATGGTTATTAATGAGATCGACGTATATATGCAGACGCTCACACTAAAAGAAAAAGCGTTTTATAACCCCGACCAATTTTCCAAAGGGCCCGGCGTAAATTTATTTTTAATATTAATATTATAAGTGATTTCCTCCAAATAGAGACTAAAATTGAAAAATTAAAATCAAATCGAATATCTTGAATTAAAAAGTTTAGATATTCGTCGAAAATATGAATAATTTTAGATGTAGGAAAAGAAATATAGGTATACTAAATTAAAAACCTGCCGAGGGTACCGGCGAAGCGTTCGTGTATGGATTTTTCTGTTTGCGGTAAGTGAAATAGTTACGATAAACTGCAGAGTATCTTTTAACAAATTAATAGACGGCCCGAATATCGGCAAACCGCAATACCCCTTGGAACCACAACGATTTTACGAATTGCCCAGAGGAATTTGCAATATGACGCGGAACCGTTATTAATCACACGTATGTTTTACATACATGTACGATTAAATACCTGCAACCAATTTCTAATAGTGTTTCAGTCCGGGCCACGTGACAGTGTCAAGGTTAGACCGTAGGTGAAAATATTTTTAACTTGTCGGTGAAGGGACCGTTGAGGGAAAGTGATTAAAAAACACGGGAAAAGACCAAAAATATAATGGTGGACATAAAATTACACCATATAAAACATTAGTCGTCGTATTAGCTGTATAATGTCGATAACTCGTTTCGTATATAGATATTTTACGATGCGAATGTTGTTAAGGTGAACGGCCTCATGACACACTCGGAAAGCTGTTGGGAAGAAAGAAAGGGGGTGAATCATTCGCTCGAGAATTTCGAAAATGTCGGTACGACTTGCGGTGCATGAAAAGAATCTACATTCATGAAATGTATTTTGCTGTAGGAGAACAAATTAACTCAAGCATTATCGGCCATAAACTTTAAAGGAAAGGAGAAATAGACTAGGCCCTTTTACGTATTTACAGAAGTACTTTGACCGCGGTAGTTTTTGCTTGTGTGCTTAGTTTTTTAAAGTTAATTCAAAATAAATTAAACCAAATATTCAAAATGTGTACAGAAATTAATAATGTTATAATGGGTGACATACAAATTGCAACATCCAGAATAATAATCGATGACATTTTCACACAAATTTATTGAATCGGACGAACGATGTTTGACTGTGGTTCTCCAATCATATCCTATATATGTTCAATAGTCGATAAGTCTGATGACCTTGCGGGTCATGGAAGAAGAGTTAGCGATATTGACTTGCTGAAAAGTTCAATCTTGCGCATTTGCTGTTGGTGCTGATTCCACCCTAAACCATCACGCCCCTGGTGGAGTCTCATGCTTTGTGCAAAATTCAGAATTCACAATGCAAAATCGCCTTTCTCGCCACTCACCACAATAAAACAAATCGATTCTACTGATTGACACCATACCGGACATGGCATTGTCCATTGGTTATTGCTATTATCAACCGAAGACGTCTTTTGTATAGCTCATAAGTTCTAATTTTGCTATAAGTAGAGCCCATTGACATCTGTTAATTCATACCGTTTACTTATGTCCGTTGTGATGAAAGGGCTCCGTTCTCTGATCCCAACATCCCATCCCAACATCACATCACTGTTGCAGGTACTGCCGGGTTGAAAGTACATCTCGGACTCTCGTAGGCTTCCCACGTCCTACAGGAGATATTGTTTTGAATACCGTAAAGACAATAAAACTGTTTTTTTGTGAAATTAGGAAAATATCTGTTTTTTTTGTGATCAGACTGGGACAAAAATCTTATCGTTTACTACTATACTTCATCCAGTCAATCAACCGAGAAAACATCTGAGATATAGCTAAGCTTAGATATACTTTTCCTTTCCTTTATTATACGTTTACCATATACAATCAATTTTTTCAAAAATGCATTAAATCGATAATAACGCTTTTTAATAAAATGTCTTAGTCTCATTCAGAAGCATTTTTGGGAACGAATAAGAACGCATATCTCTTTCTGTAAATGTCTTAAAGCACAATAACCGTCGGCGAACAATGTGGTAAATTGCTTCGGAAAAATGCGTCCTTCGGCTAATACATTGTTGCACTACAGGTACGTATGATGTGCCCAATTCGTGTTCTGCGAAATTTGTAAAGTGTTTTTTTTTTGTTTTGTGGTGTATTTTTCGTGGAAAATTTAATAGGATCTAAGCATATGTTTACAAACAAATGTGTAAACGATATTTGACAAAGATCGTTTATAAATTATCTTGGACAACACGTGTTCATCAACGAATTATGCTCTAAAAAGTTACAAGATCTATTTAATGACAGAAAGAAATTAAGTTGATTGTGTCATCAATGGATTTGGGTAATTCAATATTACAGCTATCATCAACGCCATTTTGCTGACCGTTTCGGGTTGAATGTAAATTTTGCTCATGAAATGAAGAATGCAAATATGGAAGAATATAAAATTCTCTCCACGGTTCTAGAAAGTTTCAAATAATAAAAACAAAAACAAAAACTGTGTAAAATATAATATATTGCACTGTCAACTTTATGATCGGAAAATTACCAAAGGGATTTGATAGTGTAATATCGGCTTTATACCAAACTCTCGATTTATTTGTCGATAACCCTATTGCCAAGGTAACAAAAATGCTGAAAATGCCCAGTCACGCTTACGTAATTCCGCACAAGAATGAACGTTGCTATAACCGTAATTCAATATTTCATTTGGGCACCAATTGCACAAATCAGTGAGCGCGACGTGAAAAGTCGCCCAACCCCTTACCGTCACCCTTTTTACAGTTTTGAATAACAAGACATTTAGGGCAAAAGCCAGGGTTAGGGGTTAAACTACATCTGCAAATTGCTGATTGTCTGGTTATAACAAGTGCTCTTGCTGTGAAGGACTCTTTATTTTTACCTTTGTGGTGTATGTTCATTTTTTATCATTGAATATGAATAGACAAATATTGCAAAATAAACTTTTGCGATTGTAATAAATGAAGTTTAAGACAAATGAATTTTATTACTAGCTATTCAAGTAGGACATATAATTTGACAGGTTACAGAACTTTATTTTATTTTTCTATTTCTAGTGGTGATTTAAATACAGACGTTTTAGTACTAGAATCAGGGCTTCAAATTATGTGAATTTGAATAAACACTTGTACTTATTGGATATCCTGGACACTGGAACATCCGTCTCATTGCAAAAATGTCAAGGGTAATAATAATTCGCCGATACTTCTGGCAACAGAGCCGATCCTATCAGGATTGAAATCCAAGGACAATTAGCAATGCGACACGCTATGGACGCTATGTCGCTATATATTATGAAGGCAAACAAGGAGAATCGAGGAAAAACTTGACATAACAGAACTAAGCAAATAGAGACTTCCTTGGTGAGGAATATGCCAGTGTGGAAGCGCTTAGGTTTTCCAAGGTGTGGGGAACCAGTACGAACTAGACTCTTGAGTGTTCTGGAAGAGCCCAGTATAATCTGTCTGAGCATAGTAAATCAGATAGATGAAGATGCAGATAGGCAAATACTGTGATGTAGTAGTGGTGGAAGGTATTTAAAAAATACGTTGTTAAACTACGTCGGTCCTACTCTACGCAGTCAATATGACAAGAAGGGAAAAATGGGTACAGAACAAGACTGATCTACTTGGGAACGGACCGCGTTGGTTCACAGACGGTAATCCGGAAGACTGGCCTAAAGGGAAACTAAAAAGCAAATCTTTTAGCACAGAAAGGGACAGAAAAGTCACCGATTGGCTATTTCTTGTCGACAAGAAATGTCAAAGAGTCCATAAGAAATTGTTTAAATTATTTTGCATGTTACTATAACGCCCAGTATGAAGAATAATAAAATGAAATTTTTTGTTTGAACTATTGTGTCCTAGTTTTCCAAAAATTAGAGGAATCAGGTTAGATCGGTTTCTATTTAAATATTAAAAGAACCTTCCTTATTTTACTTCATCTTCTTCTTAAGGTGCCGTCTTCTTATAGAAGGTTGACAACTACTTCGGCAAATCACTCTCTGCCCTGTTATACTTTTAGTATAACCGTCTCATTAGAAGTTCACGATTACTTAAGCATTCTACCACATTTCAAAAGCTCGTTGCATCGAGCGGACCTTGAGCGTTCAGGGATTCTAAGACATACACTTCTGGAACTTTCTATACGCCATCGAATTTCCATTTTTGGATTCAGATTACTTGTTAACCAGCATCCAAAATATCTGATATCTGTTGACTGTTCGTTATTTTAACGGTCTGATCTGCATAGCGTATACTGTTGACTAATCTTTCGTTCACCTTAGTGTCTTCTGGGGAGGATGCCGATGCATGACTATTCCAATTTTTGAAACTGCTCTAGGGAACAGGTTGATGAAACACCAAACGCATCACGTAAGTTGAGCAACCAGTAAATATTCTGCGCCGTTCGAGGCTCCTTCGTCCTATGATTTTTCCCTGCATAATAACCTGCAGCAATCCATATTTGTTGTTCACACAGATATGTCTGAGAAATGCATTTTTTCTTTTTGTAATTGTAAACAGAACTTCTAGGTCTTTGTTCATTCTCCTTAATACGGTTTGACGTCATTCGAATTCTCAAGGCAAGTGACAAAGCTTTAGCTGTTAAGTTTGTTCGATTTTGACTAGAATTTCATCCATGTGATTGATCTTTTCTTGGCTGTTGTGTCAAAGTGTGTACACTGCTCGATGACTTTGTTCTTTATAGATAGTTGGTATATATTATTCGTTTTTTTTTCTTATTCGAATGCAGCAATACAAAGAGGAATAAAAGCTAACATGTTTCATACTGTTACTGGA